ATTTTGGGTTCCTTTCATATAAGCCTTGTTGATCTAAACCCTGTGGTTCTGGTTCGGCGCAAAGGGTTAAGGACAATTGTCGAATTCATGGCTGCTACTGTCCCGTCCTTCAAGGACGGCCTGAACTGCGCTCTTCCTCGCTCCAGCCAACAAGTCAGGACTGTCGTCAGCAAGGCAACTTTGGATGCAGCTCAGAGAATCAGAACCACCAAGAGCTCGGCACAACGCCCGTAGGACTGCCTGCCCCACTCGCGCCTGCAGTCATAATTCCTTTCGCGCGAGACAAGGTCACACTGTTACTGTGGTGAGGCCACGGAATGCCCAAAGTGAAGAGCGCCCCACGACCTTACGCCCTCGACGCCCAACGGACAACGCCCCGACGTGGGGTCTCCGTTAGGTCAGGATAAGGTGAGGCTCAAATCATCTGAGGAGTCATAGCGACTCGCCTCCACCCTTTACGCCCTCGACGCCCAACGGCTAACGCCCCCAGTAGGGGGACTCCGCCAGGTCTGGCAAAGGTGAGGCTCGAATTGTCTGGCCCTCAACGCCCAGCGGTCAACGCCCAATTGGGGCTCCGCCAGGTCAGGCCCAGGAACACACGACAAAATTTCGGACTCTGACACAGAACTCACCCCTCGATCCCAAAATCACTGCTGGTACTTCTGCGAGCACTGAGCGCATACCGGCAAGTCTCGGAGGGGAACATCCGGATCGATGGCCTCATAGTTTGGAGAGAGGTTCCTCCCACATAGGAACTTGGATCCTTTCAGGATGTGCACCACCCTCGAGTAGACATGCATCCGACTATCTTTAGCAATGTCCAGCTCAGCTGCACTCAATCGCTCCATCGAGGCGCACGCTCCTCCAGCGGCCATGTCCCCGTCGCCGAAGTCGCCTTCCTCGTCATCGGACTCCTCCATAGAGGGATCGCCTTGCACAGTCTGTTCAATAAGCAGCTCCGTGCCACCAGACTCAATCAGCTTCGCGAGGCGCCAGACCTTCGAGGCATCCGGCTTGAAGGCTCCTTTCCTGATCTTTTCCACCAAAAGATGAACTACCTTCATGAGTCGGGTCTGCTCGTCCCTCGCATAAGTAAGCGGCGACACCACTCCCGGATCTATGTGATGCCCCAGCAAACGTCGATCAGCGAGAGGGACATCCGTGGATTTTGCAGCCCAAGACAAGACAGTGCACTTCAGAGAATGACACCCTAAACCAGCAGTCATCTGGGAAGCCGCGGTCATGAACTCCCTAAGATAACAAGTGGCCTCCCCCGTGGACATAGGACGGTTAAGCCACTCACCAGTCACCTCGGAGAAAGCCGGGAGCGCCGGGCCGAGGCCAAGACCAGCAGCCTCGCGCTCCTTAGCCCAAACTTCTCCCCACGACTCCTCAGCGAAGAACTTTCCCAAGGAGGCCAAAGGAAGGAGCTGGTCCTTCCTCGAAGCCGTCTTCCACTTCGAGCTCTCTGCCTCAACCAGGGTAACACCCTGAGCAGTGCTGCCCTTGAGGCTGGTCAGCTGCAAGGAATCGGCGAATCGGCAGCTAGACCCTATGCACATCAAGAGGTGACCCGCAATGATTCGCCAATGGGGGTACGGGGACTTCAGGACCACGTACTCCAGGCCTTTCACCTGCTTCACTGTCAAAGGTACTGCCTGAACAAGCTTCCTCTTCAAGGAGTACATGCGCTGCGCAGCACCCTTCACTCTAGCAGACAAGGCCCCCAAAGCGTCCGGGCTACAGAGCTTCAAAGTGTGGACAGCGAAGTTCCAGGCCTGAAGGAAAGCCGAGGCGGATGTCGGCTTGCCATGTTCCTCGAGGTGCGACATGTATCGGTACAGAACCTTCTCGCCAGCCCCGAGCGGATTTCCCAGACCATTGTCAAAACAAAAGTTGGCAAACCTCCAAAGCGACGAGGCTCTCTTCACTAAGGTAGCTGTACTCTTGCCATGGAAGACATCCAAGAAAGTTCGCCTCATCTGATCGCCGTCTCGCAGAATCAAAGCCTCAGCCGCAAGTGACTGCCCCACCTGAGACAGCGCCGGGTCAAGCAAAACCAGCGTCCTGAACTTCCTCAGAGCTTCCCAGCGAGAACTGTCGTCTGTAGCCAGGAGAGCTGCAATCCTAAGACGCTCCCTTGCAAAGTTGGGCACCGGCTGTGGATGCACCAGAGGCACCCCCGCATCAACAGCAGATCCTGAATCGGGAGACAGGTCCCGAGGTAGCTCCAGACGCGGCCTCTTGAGTGGCCCACCAAAGATCCAAGAAAGGGGACCCGTCTCCCAAGGGAGAAGAGGAGTCTTTCGAGACGCCTCGCCCACCTTTATGTGCCAAGACAAGTCCTTGATGAGAAGGGACTGAGCATCCAGAACAAGCGGCCTCTCGGCAGCGACCAAGGCCGCATGAAATTCGGATGGCCCAAGCAAAGCGTCTGAGTTAGGCTGACCCGCCATATCCCAATTGAAAAGTCAGCAAAGGTCAAAATTATGGCAGGTCTGAGGCAGACTGCACGCCTGGCTCAAGAAACACCCGACAGGCAGTCCTCAAGCTCTGAATAATCCCTTCGAGCCACGAGAGACGTTGGTGGTGGCCGGTCTGGTTCACCCAGGCACGAGCAAGGGACTCTTCCAAAGCCTGCAATGCGGACCTGAGAGTCTGGATTTCAGCACGGAGGGCGTTGACCTCCAATTGGAGTTCGTAAATGTGCTGACTGTGAAGCTCGCGGGTGCTGGTAGAGCTGTCCTCGGAACGGCCTGAAGAACCAGCGGCGAGGGCGTCGCCGAAGTCCATGGGACGAGAAAAATTGTTCAGTCAACGGTCACTGCAATGTGTTTCCCAGCTATGTGCATGTGCTGACACGTGACCTACGGACACACTGAACTTAGGCCAAAGGCTTTTGCACTCGAACAACTGATTCCACGTCAAAGTAAAAGTGTGACATGAAATCAAGAGCGCACGGATTTTAAATAAGTTGTAAAATTTGAAATTCCTACGTTTCGCGTCGCCTCTATGGGCGACTATAAATCAAAGACAACTCTGTCCGCCCGCGGAGAACGTCATCCCCTTCGGGATTTCGTGTGAAAAACCGAGGACTCCACTTAACTCTCTGTCACAAAACCCTGGGCAGCCAATCGTAGATCGAATGCACAGGCAGCAGCAAGAGCACGAGGGTCGATCAGAGTTGGCGCCGTCAGTTTGACTGGACAGCTAAGAGGCAGCGCTAGTAACGCTAGTACTCCCACGCACTAGCGGACCTTGTGCTGGGACTCAGGCAGGGTGGTGTCAAGCTGCGACAATGAAACAGAGTTGGCAGGAATCCTAATGCGTGAGGTTTTGGTACTGGCTGTTGCACCAAGAGCTGATATGTATCGTGTTGATTGCCTTGACGAACGTCCAGTAATTGTTAGTCCTCTCACCAATCTTCCCTTGCAGGCACACTCGGTCAGCTTTTTTTCCCGTTGGAGTGCGAACAACGAGTTGTCTGTGTTCGGGATGACTCTTTTCGCTTCTTGATCGATTGCAGGCGTCCAGCTATTGCTAGCTAGGCAATAAGCATGCCCTCTAGCATAGCCTGCACACTGGTCTTGAGCTTAAGCTACGTTACGCGGAGCATATAAGATCAGTGCTGTGACACGGTCCGACTCGCGGTCTCATGTGCAGACAAAGTTGTGAAACAAGGCCCGCGAGACGGTGTCTTGCACTATGTAAATGATGGAATCATGACTTTACTTCCCATAGCTCTGATTGTGATGCCCACGAATTGCACCAGGCATCGAGGTCTGCTCGCACCCCCCATGAGTTGTGCCTCCGGCATTACTCACTTGAAGGAAGTCGCGATTAAACAAAGAAAATCTCCGTCGTGACTTTGACATTGTTGAAAGCGAGTTTTGCATCCCAACTAGAAATGTTGTGATACTCGACTACGTCAGTAACGATCCCCTGAAATGACACTGCAGAAGCAGACGGCACCGAAGAAAGCGGCCAAGGCTGAAGATCACCCTCAATTGGCGGTGTCACAAGGCATGATGCAGCGAGACATCATCCGGACCAATTGTCCCTGACCTAGCGACGAGTGCGTTCAGGTCCATCGCGATCCCGTGGTCTGAAGTTATCCTCCGGGTTTTTCCGTTTGCCTTTACCCTTCATCTGATCGTGGTAGGCGTTGGCATTCCACGGCGATGTCCGTGATAGACGTCTGCCCTGCGTTTAAGTATTCATGGGCTGAAACGTGATGCAGTGCTTGGCGATGAGCATGATGTTGCGGGCTTCTCTCCTCATCAGCCTTTCGCTTTGCGAGCTCGACCACGAACTTGGCTGGGACTTATTGCCAAAGTGTAAAACAATCGACCACAGCAACAACACCATACGCCCAGACACCTGTGGCATATATATATATATATATAAGGTGTGGTTGAAGGAAAATTTCGAATGTATCAAATACATTCTCGCAAACATATATGTTCAACCGAATGGTATATTCGAAATAAAGCAAAATAGCAGCACTCGGACCCCTCTCGCTATTTTCCTGGAACGGGCGGCCCAACGTCCTCGGTTTCATGAGTTGGATATATCACTGTCCAACCGAGATATAAGCGAATGTGCAACCATCGCACATAGCTTTCATGGCACCATGTGCCGCACGGAGTAGAAGTACGGAGGATCCAATCCTCAACACAGTATCACTCCCCCCCACAAACCCACAGGGCAAAGGCGAGTGCCGCCTCCTCCATTGACACTCTGGTGTGTGCACTGGCTATTTGTGAGGTATCGACTTGTGACAGGCGTGCGGATACACGCTGACACAGAAGTTGAGCCTCGGCGGAGTGAGCTCGTACCGCTGTTTCTAACAATCTTTTCTCACGGCCAAAAGGGCTTCAGATCTGCGTTTGCGGTGTGTACAAAGGGCAGGGTCGAACTGTAACACCCCGCCTCGGTTGAGGCAGCCTCCTCTCTACAGCTGCGTCAACCGTCCAAGGAGAATTTCTTGAAATTTGCGCCTACCCTCCCAACGTCCTTAAGCAAGTCTGGCATGGAGTGAAAATTCGAACAGCATGATTCCGAACGTTTCCGCATGTTGGGAGGTGATAGCGCTCGCCACGTGAAGTGGTAACAGCTATCCTTTCAGGTGGCACAGCTCTGCCACGGGCCTGTACAAGCTCCCTTTCGAGCAACCTGCGCTCATCGCGCAGCCTCATGATCTCATCTTGGAAGTTTCTAACTTCCATGCACCTCTCAGCAAGAGCTTGTCGAAGCTCCGTAGCTCGCTGCACGTATTCTTCTTGAAACCTTTCCTCAGAGCGACTCATGCCCCGATTGGCTTGCACTCCGGCCTCTCGCGTGGTGGCCTTAGCTTGGGTCTCCTGGTCCGTAGCCGTATGGGCTTGCCTGCACCAGCTTGCTAGCCATCCAGAAAGTCTGAAAAAGCCAGTCACCAGCACCCAAGGCACACCCAAAATAAGAAGCCCAACCACCAGCGCAACCAGAATGCTAGCCAAGAGCTCCTCATCGAAAAGAGGGGCTCCAAAGCTCAAGCCCTCAGCCTCCATCACTTGACACATCAAGATCAAGAGGGGCATGACCTTCTTCACTCTGCTCACTCTGGCACCTCCTGTCTCCGACTTGTAAGCTTTCAAGGCAGTGGCCAAACCCCGCCTGGCACATGCTTGATCGTAGTCCTCCTTCCCGAACTCCTCAAGATTGGCGTCCTTAGCACTCATGAGGTGAAGGAGTTCTCGGATACGGGGTCCTTGCAAAGGCTTCGTTCCCAGGTCAGCTGTGTTGCAATAGCCTGGGACAACTCCCACACTGAGCTTCTTTGTTTTTAATTTACGTAGTTGTTCTTCCGATTGAGCAGAAACGGCAGCGCTAAAGAGAAAATGATTTGTGAATCTATTTGCAAAGAACGCCGACACTGGGCGGGCGGGTGGGACAAAATTTTATGCCCATGTTGCCATGCTGCCTTCACTTGCTCCCTTGAGCACAACCTCACGGCGGGAGCATATCATAAGCCATGCACAAAAGGATTGCTCTCAAGAGAAAATCACTTTGAAAGTTTTCTTTCCAACTCAATCGGAAGAAATAAAACTAACCCAGTTTTACAAAACAACATCCTAAATTAAAGCGCTATCAACCCGTTGACCGCTAGCTTAATTTACGTAGTTGTTCTTCCGATTGAGCAGAAACGGCAGCGCTAAAGAGAAAATGATTTGTGAATCTATTTGCAAAGAACGCCGATATATATATTGTATAAATTCCTTCAGGAAGCAGCACTCGCAAGGTCTTCGTTTTCACTGGTGACGTTGGGCGATCCACTCCTGTAACGACATACTCAACCGCGGCTGCGGTTGAGCACATCGCTTCGTGCAACTCAAAGGCCCAGCAGTTATGGGACTCGGCAGTCCACAAAAACACACAAGTCAAGGCAGGCAATTCACCCCCGATTAACCGCGGTCCTAAGCAAGGATGTCATCAAGCGTTTTGGCAACTGGAGTTGCCTTGATAGTTCCTGCCTTCGTTTTTACGACTTTAACCAGCTCTCTAGACAAAATGTCAGAGGGGTTCGAAGGGCTCGGTACGCGTGCTATCCAAGTGTTTAGACCCGCCATGTCTTCAACCGAAAGGAGTAGCTCGATCAGCGTCCTGCCCGTGTCGTTTCTTGCTCTCCCCGAAATGCATACGTCACGAGCACTGTTATTATCCACATAGGCCACTAATGCATGATGCATAATCCTTTTGCGCCATAGCACCATTGCAGCGATGTACGCAACAAGTTCCGCCTCGAAGATGATAGTCTTCTTACTGGCATTGCCGAGCTTTTCCATTTGCTTCAGGTCCAATTCATGCGAGAAGAAACTCAGCACGTTGCCCTCGTGATCATAAAGCACACCGCCTATGCCGCACTTGGGGCCCTGAGCACTCACCTCATAAGCTGCATCAGTGAAGATGTATCGTGGGGAGTGGGCCGGTCTCGCCAGCACGCGTGGCTTTGAGTCCTTAAGGAGCAGCGCGTACCGGTTCAAGGCAGTAAGAGCATCCTGCCCAAGATTCGTTTGACCGGTAGCGATATGCGTATCCAATTCCTTAAGACAAAGTTTGCTGGCGCGCCCGAAGACTTGGCCGTCGGCAAATTGTAGCCGGCCCCTGAGCCGTTGTGCATCTTTGCAGCGCAGCTCTTTGCTCTCGACTGCACTGGTAAGGGCGGCTAGGAGCTCTTGCACCCTGTTGTCGGTGTTCCCAACCTCAACACGTCCGCTGCTAAAAGGTTCCAAATTAAACCTGACCCCCAATGATTCAAAAGTACTGCCAAAATCCTGTGCCTTCTTCCCCTCCTCCGCGAACTGCCACCCCAGGAGTCTAAAGAAGCGGGGAATGTGGTCGGCAGTGTATGCACAATCTGATTGCCGAGCTAGTGTGGGAAAATCGTCAAAGTAGCAGGTCCACAAGAAGCCCAGATGGCACCCGAGCGTCCACACCGAGTGAACGGTTCTGAGGAAAGAGTGCACACTCCTCACCGCCCCAAAGGGTAAGGCCTTCAGGCGATGCACTGAAGGTTGGCCGGACTGCTCGTCGTGGAAGGCAACGTAAGCGTCCTTTAGGGCGTCCTCACTTAGACCAAGCTGGCGATAAGCGGACTTGAGATCGTAACTTCGGCCTTTAAGGTTATCTCTGGGGAACGATTCCAAGCATTGCAGAATCAAGCATGCCAGCACGTCAGTCGTGTGCGGCTGGGGAGATTCGCAGGCTTGCACGGCCGCGTTCACGGAGCTTCCTGATAAGTCGTCTATAAGCCTCACCTTTTGGGAATCCCCGGAACCTTGCGATAACCCAAACCTCCTACTGACTAGTGCCCCATCTTCTAGGTCGTCAGGATCGATTGGTCCTTCCAGCCAACCCTTGTCATGTTCCTCAGCAGTTTTGCGCTTCACCTCACGATCCAGCTCGCCTTGCGAGCGTACCGACTCCAAGACGTGCTTCCTGGTCTGCGATGCCTTGCGGTGAACCTCCTGCGGGGATGCCGAGGCGGGCTTAAAGACCTGGGGGAACAATCCTGTAAGCGGCACTTGACCCACTAAGTCTGTTCCACTGATCATTTCCTCGACCACCTCCATATCCTCGTACCCTATGTCCTGTAGAAGTTCCTTCCACAGAAGGATTTTCTTTGGCCCTAAGATATCCCTTAAGTGGGGTGGCATCTTGGCCTTAAGTGCTGCCTCACTCTCCTCCAAGGCTGCCGCCCTGGCTTCCCACCGCTCAAACCACTTTTCCCTAAACTTTAGCAACTCATCGGAGTCCAAAGATCGGTTAAGTTCAACGGCTTTGTTAAGTGCCTGCGGCAAAGGAACTTTCAGTAGTTTGGGATGTCCTGCTTTACACGCAGCCGCAACAAAGGCGTCCGGGGAGTAGGGCACACCCCAGGCTTGTTCAAGAATGGGCTCGGTAGGGCTCGCAGTCACGGTCGAAGCATTGTCCGCATCCAAGGTCAGAGCTGAAGAATTGTCCCCCTTTTTAACCGGTAATGGCACGGTTCTAAGAAGTTGCGCATTGGCTGGAATGCGCTGGAGTGAAGCAGCACAGGTGGGTGGAAGATCCCATGGGGATTTGAGGCGACCCATGCGGGCACACGGCGCGGCGTCGAGAGCCGACTGCGGGCCGCGAACTAAGAGCACTTTGCAATGCTCTGGCACGAGAGCTGGAAATTTGGCAGCCGCAGGCTGATTGCCAGCAGCCGCACGGCACGCGGATAGCAAGCTGTCGGCTTTGGGCAAGGCTTGAGGTGGCTGCCACCCGGCGCTGACTAAGTGAGAGGCCACAGCATGAGCTATAGCAGCCGCCAGGGGCGGTGGGTAAGCGGTTTCCTCTTTGGTGGCAAACCCTGTGGAGGTAAGGCCCCAGGGCTCATGCGGATGCGCAGGCGATTGACCAGGACAGGAGCGTTGCAACGACGAAAAGACATCATGAGTGGAAGCCAGGGTGGTGCGCTTGGGCCGCGCACCGCCAAACATGCAGTGGTCAAAGGAAGTGCGGTAAGGGCATAGATGCGCAATGCTTTGGAAGAAGGTGGTGGCCCAAAACCAGGAGCGGTGCGGATTCTCGCACACGAAAAGCACGTCCCGACGGTGACATTCCAGCGCAACCTTGGCCAAGAATTCATATAAGGCGTTGGCAGCCGCAACACGCTGCTGATTGGAACCCTGAAGTTGTGGCAAGCCATCAGGGAACTGAGAAGATCGAAGAGGCGGCGGGCCAGGGACGGGCAGACCTGAGCTATCGTAAACCTGGATGTCTCGCGCACGGCTAGAGGTGCCGCAAGGTGGCGCTGCGACCACAGCAGACAGCAGCGGATTGCACAGCCAAAACATGGCCAGGTCCTGGCCATCCTGAGTGGTTAGGTCAGCGATCAAGGGGGCACATGCTGCAGATTCCAGGTGCTTATGATCGATGCCGTGCGCCGTTACACCCAGTCGACGGAGGCACGCAGTGACGCGGGCTGTGCCCGCAAAGAGCTCAAAGACAACTGGGGTAGCCGGGGCCCGAAAGATTGGACGCGGAATGGGCACCATGGTGCCCTGCTGAAGGACGTCGCCTGTGGCCAGGTCAGGGGGGCTAAACCCTAGGGAAACCAGAGCTGAATGGTCAGCTTCGGAAAGGGCCGCGAAATCGCGGATGACAAACCCGGCTAATACTACCCGGTAACCATCCCAAGGCATGGTGGCATGCCGCTGATGGGCGTCAAAGGTAATGCATGCATTGGATATTGGCAAAAGATTGCCTCGCAACACCGGAAGCGCTTTCGAGCCAGAGATGGCCCTTCTCGAAGGTGGACACACCTATCAAGAAATTGGGGAAACCCTTGGCATTATTCCGGTCTGCGTGCAGCGGAGTGAGCGTCTGAGCCATCAAGGACAGGGACGTGAACGGCAATTCATGTCCCCAACTTTTAGCGTAGGCGGCCAGCATCCGACACACGGTCGGGAATTCATGACACGTGCGGCGCAGCCCCAACATGGGGCCCTGGACATAAGCACCGACACTGAAGGAAAAACTGGATTGGTGGGTGATGTCGGGATGTTGTCTGGCGGGTACTTCCGAGGGCAACAAGCTTATGAGCTGTGTTATGTCATCAGAAGTAATTCTGGGTTTACTGAGGCAAGCGGCTGCGAAGTCCTCAGCGGTGTCATGCACTTGATCCTGTTGCGCACTGAGGTCTCCTGTCAAGGTAGCGGCAGCTGAACAGTCATGGACGCGCTCAGCAGGATCAACGACCACCGTATGATCCTTTTGTCACGCCCCACCCACGGCCGGGCATTGACCGATGGGGTGCGATCCTTCGAACTTGGCACACACATGGGCCCTCGTACAGCTTGGATGCGAGCAGCCTTCCAAGTTGTATGCAAAACAGATGCGCTGTCCCTGCTTCGTGAGCGGCTTCGCTCCCTTTTGTCGCAACACCAAGGGCATGGGAATGCTGCTGGCATCCTGAGAGCCCTTGCCCTTACCGGCTTTGCCCTTGCCGCCGGTCTGCTTTCCCTTACCGGAACCTTTACCACCCTTGGAGCCCTCATGGCCACGCCACTTGTTTGCATGATCCGCATTAGCTGTGTTCTTGCGCTTACTTGCCGCAGGCAGGGGAATAAGCAGAGAAGACACCGCATACGATTCAAGGGCTGCGTGGAGTGCTCGGTCCATATCATGGCTGCCATCGGGGTTCGCACGGGGTCTTCGGTTTTCCTCAAGCATGTGCACCCACACAGCCTTGTCAGCCTGGATCAGCTGCTCAATGTTAACACGCTGGTGATTTGCTGGGGCAGGCCGGCGAAAGTGCATCATAAGCTTGGCCAGGTAGCTTTCATACGCGCCTAGGCTGACGCAACTGGCCATGACATAAGCATAACCTCGACGTTTAAACCCTTCAAGCAAAGCCAATGCGCCATGCACAGGTTGGTCTGTGGTTTCAGCATGCTCGCGCACAGCGATTTTCCCTGCCTCTACCTCAAGTACTTTTGACGGCTTGTGGTGATTAAGCAGCTCGTGCTGGCGGGAAACGCATTTCTCAATCGGTATATGCTTGAAGACATTTTCTCGATGCTGCTCACAGGTCATGTCCAACAGTGAATGCCCGGGCTCCATGGTCGAGTCGATGTGCAAGCCAGGGTTGGCAGTCTTGAACATGGAAAGACGCTGCGATTTCTCGGCTTCAGGTAGCTTCTGCTTAGTGGTATTGTCGGGATCCAAGATTGATTGCCGAAGTGCACTGAGCTGAAGGGTTTGAGACTCGAACAGCAGACGCTTAAAGGCGGCGACATCACCCAAGGACAACCCCGGGAGATTTGACTCAAGCCACTCCTTTAATGCCTCTTCAGACAGGTCTTGACCGGGGATGCCGACAAGATGTGCTGTGGTCCCCAGCGTCTTAACCCCGAGAGCTTCCAACTTGCCCACAGTGGGCTGACTCAAGTTGATCTCCTTGCATCGCCGGATAAAGTGGGCCTCAGAATCAAGAATGGCGGTCATTGCGATATGTGCTACAAACACTAGTCAATCGATGCTGTAGTTCTCTGTCCTGCTTCACGTGTTGTGCGGTGTTGTGTTGTGATCCTGTCAAAGCACCCGGAAACATGTCATGATCTCAGCCAGGGATGCGTGAGGGGGCGAGTTCAACAACGACATGTGATATTATGATGGTTCGCCGGGTGGTTAAACCCGAAAATCAAGCGGGTCCTTTCCCCGAAAAAACGACTCTAAATCGCTCAAAACCACTGCTTACCCATCCTTATATAAAAACCTGATTTTATAGGGACTTGGGTCTACAGTGTGCCCAAATACGGAAAAAACCTACAAAAATCATGCTCGGGGCGCATAAGCCCTCAAACCGACCCTGGCGAACCCTCATATGTGACATGATCACCCTAGACTGCATTCACAGACTCGCGAAACTCTCTCACCACACACTGCACTGGCTGACTGAACACGCGGTAGTAATACCGCAAGCTGCTCTCGTTTTGTGCCCTCGCACAAGTCCCCTTGGACTAGCCTTTAAAGGCCGGCAGCTACCCTTCTACAATTCTGACAAGTGCCGCTGACTTGTCCAAAACTAGATGGGACGACGTAATTGGCCGTCCCAACCTTTCCACACGCCAAAATGGCGCTTCCTCCCCCAGACCTCGCTATCACGTAATGGCACTTCTTCGACTTTGCATGCATAAGCGAGTCCTTCAATCCCCACGGCCAGTCCTGCCGTTGGACCTTGTGAACAGGTTGCTCATCCTCGGAAGATGTTCCAGAACTCTCGCCGCTCTCGCTATCAGAGGAGGAACTAGAATCTGAACTGATCTCCACGACCTCGTGCCTCATCACGAGCATCAGGCTCAGACTTGACTGCCTCCTGTGCCTGCTGGGGGGCTGCAGAGAAGTACTCGGCCCGCGGGTTGTCTGGCTTGAACCGTCCGGAAGAGATGTCTTGAAGAACCTGTTCAAACTCTTTCACGGCCGATGTGGCCAGGTCAACGGCATAAATCGCCTGCGAGCCAGCTGTTGCTGACGCATGTCGGCCCAGCACCGACCTCACCGGCTCACTCACGCCATGCTTCGAGCACCATGCAAGTGGAGTGCGTTTGAGCGAGTGCGACGAAATGCGTTTCAGACGCTCCTCGTCACACACTGGGCCCAATGCAATCCTCAAGAAGGATGTGATCTCTGATGCTCGGATCTCACGCTTAGCCAGCAAATCACCATCCGCAGACAAAGGGGCCCTCAGCAGAGGGCCCTCAACCTTGCCTTGGACCTCCATGCCTACTGACCTGAGGGCCTCGAGGGCTGCAGACACCCACTGGGTGCCAGTGACTCCCACTGCTGGGATCAGCACGGGCAGAAGCTTCCTGGATCTCGCAGTGACGTTGTTAGTCTTATGCATTCCTAGATAGAGAACAACGTATCCCGAAGAATCATCAAACTCGTGCTCAATCCACTGAATGTCCGAAAGGTCGCTGTTCCTACAACGGCCATACAGGGCAAAAAGACATCTGGCTGCCATGGCCCGATCAAAGCTGTGGGCTCCTTGGTCCTCCACCATGGTGTGCAATCGGCATGTTTCGCCCACCGTCAACGCCTCTGCTTGGCGCAACCATTGAACTCCAACTGACATTTGTTCAGCGAGCCCACACACCCGCCTGCTCTTCAAGACATCGTCAAGATGAAAACCAAGTACATGGTGAAGGAATCGCATTGCGCTCAAGACCCCGGCCCCCCTTGAGGCAGCTGCGCCTGCCTTCTTGAGGTTGGTCATGTAAGCCCACAGTGATGCCTCCGATAGACAGTCCGAATCGGACGCAGGGCCGTTAAGGTACCACCTGAGAAACATGTTAAAGGCATTTGCACGCTTGTCAATTGTCCAAGGTGAGCGAGTGCCGACGGCGGCTGTCACTGAATCTGGGTCAACCTTGTCATTGTGCAACAGCGTAGGTGGGACTGAACTCGGGGGCACAAGTCGCAGGCCTGCCACCAACTTACCCAGACTAACCTCCAAGACATCAGCGCGCCTCTCACGGAAGGAAAGGTTCTTAGTGGCTTTAATGGCTACTGCGAAAATCGGCTTACCTTGAAGATACACTTTGGCACTTAGAGATACACAGGTTTTCTCCTGAAAAGTCGGCTCCTGTGGCACAAGGAGCTTTTTCGCAACCAAGGGCATCTTGGGGATTGACGGCAGCGATGGCAGAGACTCGCTGAACACAGCACGCATGGGGCCACGCTCCCACGGGAACTTCAGCTTGCTCAAAGATGGATTCGTAACCAACTCAGTTGACACCACACTGGCCAAGTCAACAAGCGGTGGTATCGTGGGCTCATGGATGCTGGCTGTGAAGGCCTTGGTAGCAGGGGATGCACCGAGGCTAATTTCCGAGCCTATCGGCCTCCAAGACGAGCTAGAGCCTGCAGCAAGCCGCTCTAGGTGCGCATCAAACTCACTCAACAATCCTTCCTCTTCCTCGGCCACCTCCCTGTAGTGCTGCAACTCTGCAGAAGGATCACAGTCTTCCTGCTCGTCCCAACCATCCGGCCCGTATTCCGGAGGGGGAGCCACATCCAGAGGCTCGGGTTGTCTTAAAGGGTTTAGGCCGACACCACTAATGAGCAGCAGGTCTACATCGCTAGGGACCATGGGGGGTATTGGCGGAAAGGCAGGCCGAGGCTCCGAGGAGTCTGCACTGACCACGACGGGCATCTGCTCGTTTGACGGCACAAGCTGTTCGGAAGGATCTAGTGGGTTCTGCACAGGCCTAGGGCTAGTCACCGGTTCAACCGACGGTACAGGTGTAGACGCAACCCCATCCTGATCCCCCCTATTAACCGAAGAAGACACAAGCGGGGGCGGCGCAGCGGAGGCCTCCGTGGCGGGCAGGGCTGGCTCAGCCTCATGCTGGGCGGCTGCGGCCGACAAGGCCACTGGAACCTCACATGAGGGCACATGCTCGAGGGGAGGGTTCGGCATAAGGCTGACTTGGCGCAAAACCCCTTGTAATGGCAGTATGCAAAACGATTGAATGCACTTCCCTGTTGACAAAATCAGAGGCCTGCAACCAATGCGATCGCTCGGGAGGGCCAATGAAGGCCCAAATGCACAAAACTACGTTGCACTCTTGGCACAGACACTCGAAGTCTGGGGGCACAACCACGCTCAGATCGGAGAAGGAACTGGACTGGCTGCCGGCACGGCGCAAGGACGTTGGATGCAAGCGAAACTCTAGTGCTGTAACCCGCAGTTCAAGAGCCGAAAGCTGGTCAGTCCAGCTTTCCTGAAGCCTGAGAATCTCAGAGCTATGCACGAAGGACGATCCGGCACTGGTTGCCTCGCTCATGCACCTCACTATTGGAGGCGCCCGCACCCCCCCCCGGCCGCAGGAGAGAGCTACACTTAGGTCTGAATGCTGAAGTGAGAAAGTGACAAAACTGTTCCAGGTTGCTGACAAAATTTTATGCCCATGTTGCCATGCTGCCTTCACTTGCTCCCTTGAGCACAACCTCACGGCGGGAGCATATCATAAGCCATGCACACAAGGATTGCTCTCAAGAGAAAATCACTTTGAAAGTTTTCTTTCCAACTCAATCGGAAGAAATAAAACTAACCCAGTTTTACAAAACAACATCCTAAATTAAACCGCTATCAACCCGTTGACCGCTAGCTCACAGCTTGCTGAATCCATAGGAGTCCTGTGTCGATGTGCCGAATACGCCCGCAGCCGACTCGCTGCGCTATTCCTCGGCACGCTGCGGAGTCGGTCCTTGCCTTCACGGTCACCTCCACGTTCGCTCCTTCAGCAAGGAACCTCACACACTCCGCCACATACAAGGCCTCCCCGGAGCCGCCAACCATGGCGATGAACTCGCTCTCGCCACTGGAGAGTGCAATGCTCCTTTGGCTCCGGACGTAGCTCGCCACCATGCTTCCACCGACAAAGAGCTGTATTGATGTGCGGCTGCGGCGTGTCCTTTTGCATCCTGCCCAATCCGCGTCTGTGATCGATTCGATCACAAGCTCCCCGTACTGCAGCCCACCTCGACCGTTGAAGCCAAAGCAGCCTCCATCTCGAGCGGGCCGAAGTAGAATTCCCAAAGTGGGAAACTTCTTGAGGTAGCCGATGACCCGCTGGAGCCACTTCATGGCCATGGCCGTTGGTGTCGCCATCTTGGAGCTCAGCACGCAGACCGGGAACTGGATGTCAGCCCGAGAGTGGCTCAAGTAGAGGAGCCTTCCGACTGCCTCGCGGTACTCCCGAGCCTGGTTGCCGTCGAGGTCCTTTGAGCTGTCGGGTTCCAGGAACGTTGCGTCTGAGGGGGCATCCCTCAACTTAGCGCTCTTTCCAATGCCAGCAAAGAGGGCCTCAGCATACTTCTCGTTCGGGTACACGACAATGCCCTCCTCGGTCATCACATAGCGCCTCTTTAGGAACTCCAGCTCACTCCCTGGGTCCTTCAATGGCAAACTTGTTTGCACCGTCACCTGGGACCCAACCTTGCCAAGGATCCTTTCACGCTCTGTTGCCGTAGAAGCAAGGAGTCCATCGTCGGCGTGCAGTATGAGGCCTGTGCGGTTGTCGTGATTGATGTGCCTGAAGAGAGTGGGTTCTTTATCGAAGCTTTCCATGTTGCATTCCTCCAGCATGGATTTCGCGAAATCGTACCATGCCGAGGCTCCGATCCTTTGCCCTGGGAGCAACTTCTCCAGGACGAAAGGGATCAACCCCTCGCGCCCGTCGTTGAGGATGCCACTGTCCACCATGATCACCGCCGGGTTCGGCTGGTCCACTTGGAGATACGCATCTTTTATATCGAGGCTCACAACCTCGAGGTTGTGGGAGATAGCCCAGATCAAGAAGGCGTGTGTGGTCCCCAACGTAGAAGCAGGGGCAAAGAGTTCGGCAGTATATGGGGAGTTTCCACGGAACTCCCTTGCAACTAAACGGCTCCTTCTTGTCCACCCCGGCCTGCGCCTCCAGTCTCTCACCAGCTTGGTTGTTAGCCGGGTGTAGCTCTCAATTCTTTCCCCCGGCTTGGGCTCGCGAAGAACTCCCATCTTTTGCAAACGGGTCACCTCTGCAAGGTCAGATGCCCTGTCGACTTTTGCCAGGTCCTCCTCGCTGAGCTCAGGGGCCTTCTCGGCCTCAGGGTCCCACTCCGGTGGTGGGTCAACATCCCACACATCATCTCCAATATCCGCCTCCAACGCCTCACCGACCTCATCAATCCAATCCTCGTGGTTGCTCCACTCCTCCAAGGGGATGTCGCCATGAACATGCCGTACCCCTGCGAAAGAAGGAGGGTAAAGAGGTCCTTGTGGAGACCCAGCCGGAGAAGCCGCCAAGGGTGAAGGTGTTACGCCTGGCCGGTCAAGTAGAAGTCGGGGCCTTTTAGGCACTGGCTCAGCTTTCGGGGCAGCTTCACGTGCACTGCTTCCTCGGGCTGCTCCTGTATCCATCTCTGCGGCTGGTTCTGCGCTCGCGGCGGCTGCCTCCCCTAGTCCTCCTTCAGCAGCTTGTTGTGGAAGCTGCTCTGCTTGCATAGAGCTGGCCGGACTGCTGCTTGAATTGCTGCTCGAGGGCCTTTCTGGGGAGTCTGACCCAGCTTCATCATTGCCAGGTCGCGGCGTTGCCGCTGCGATAACCTCGGCCGCTGCGCGCCCTGCTGCCTTGGCCAATTCTTCCAAGGAAGCGGTGTCCGGAAGAAGTGCAGGACGAGCTGCTGACGTATACAAGGGCCGCTTCCTCTTGGCTGTCCCCATGTAGTCCCATGGAAGTCCACGGCAAGCAAGGATTGCAGGCCCGTCCCATTGCTCCTCGGCTGGAAGACGTCTGATGCTTCTAGCCTCCACCGCTCCGGCCTCCGACAAAAGGATGCTTGCCCCATTCCTTTCGCTCTGGCCGACATAGATTCCCCTAAGCCACTGTAGGTCACCTCGGTGTCGGGTTGGGGCATGATATAGGCACTGCTCACCAAAGGGGATCAGGCTGCCATGAAAACACTTGCCGTAGACGAGCTCAAAGGGCGGGTTCCCACGCACTGGCACCGAGAACCGATTCAAAAGAAAAGCCGCGTGCCTCATAAGCCATGGGAAAACATGAGTGTGGCCCTCCACTTTGATCTTCGCTCTCTCCTCCAGGTGTGCCCGCAGAGTACGGGAGTTTGCCCGCACCGTTTGGATGGTGCGCTCCACCATCCCGTTGCTCTCGTGGGACCCTCTTGGAATGAGCCGGGTCTGGGTGTGTAATCCCAGCCGGCTTCTGCACGCCACCACGGAGTTGATGATCTGCTTGATGCTTGCCTCAGGGTCGCCTTGGAACATCACCGGGCCGGCCGGGCTGATCTGCATGCTTGCTCTCACAAGTTGCTCGGTCACACGCCGCAGGGCGCCGGCCCCCTTTTGCAGCACAGGGATTGCGAGCTGCCAGCCCGTAGTTGACTCAACACCAAAAAGGGTGAGCCCATATTGGTCCTGGAGGTCAACATCCTCAGGGCCAGGTTCCGCTTCACGGTCGCCTTCGTCCTCCTCCGTCTCCTGGTTCCTCCTCCTGGTAAAGGTGTAGCCGTAGTCGATCTGGATCACAGGCATGGCCCCCTTCTCAAGGTCGGGGCCGTCTTTAGCTTCCTCACGGGGCTTGTGTGGTGAAGACTTAGCACGCCCGGCCACGCAGGCAGGACACCACGCAGCAAAAGGTTGGTGGGTCACATTGTGAAGCTCCTGCTGGCGTGCACTTGGAAGCCGGGGTGCTCGAGGAACATCAGGTGGCCTGGCCTCCTCAAGGAAAAGCTTGTGTGCAAGTTCGCTGGCAAGCTTGTGTTCAAGGATCTCGTGGTGCTGCTTGAGGCGCTTGAGGATTTTGTTCTTTCCCCCGCTTGTGGGCAGCCCCTGCCGGCTGCACAACTCCCTCAGCTCTTTCAGAGGAGTCTCCACCGAGAGCGCCACTCCTTCCAAAACCTCTCCATCTGGAACTTCCTCTTCCATGTCGCGGCCAATTCCAACTCCCCCTTGCATGCCATCATCACCGACCCCGCCTCCGCTTTCATCAGCTGGCAGAACAACCCCACCTCCATAATCGTTAGGTGGCTCCTCGAAGAAGTCCCTGGGGTTTGTCAGGAGGTCGGTGGGGAGCTGCTCGACATGGAGAAGGATAGCATAGTCATAGGCACTCTTCAGGTCAGCGTTCAGCTCCTCTCGAACTCAGTGGTCTCCATGGCGTACATCTGGGTCCGAAGGTCACCGGCCTTAGGAAGGCGCTCCGCCGCCTCCTGTCGCACAAAGAGAGCCATCCAGGGCCAGTCTCCGGTACTCCACAGGCTCTCCTCAAGGCCGACCCGCTTGGCCTTGTGGACCACCAGAAAAGGAAGCCCACTCCCAAGAATGTGCCAGCCGGCTTGGTGGGCCAGCCCCTCCGCTGCGGCAGGCAGCCGCCCCATGTCATCGGAAACACCCAAGGCATTCACACAGCCACTGGCGGCAGGCACTTGGCCAGCCAGAGAAATCAAGGAGACAAACCCCATCACAGTCAAGGTGTTCCGCCTCAGTCGAATAGGGATGCGGGTGCCCTCTCTGGAGATAACAGGCATCCCGCTCTCGTGGCCCAGCTGCCAGCCCCAACGAAGAAGCCGACCAAGGCTGAGGATCAAAGAGCTTACGCGTGCTATGGAGAATCGCTCCCTGATCGTCACCATGTTGCCGGCGGTGTCCTCGACCTTCACATCAAGAAGCCTGGTGCCTCTCGGGGATAAGCCGGCCCTGCGCATCATGCATTGTGACCTCAGACGGTGGAACCTAAGAGGGGCCACCGGGACATCGGCGCCGGAATCCACCACGACCTCCACCTGCACGGGCTGGGCCTGGACAGCCAAGACATTCCCCGGCACCTGGGTATACAAATCGCAGTTCGCATTGGGCTCATCGGTTTCCAAAGTCCAGTTGCCGTCGTGGTCTGTGGCGTCCATCTGGAAAACCTCAGGACCGCAAGCCCTAACCACCATAACACCCATATCACCCTCGAAGAGGTCGGGAATCGTATCCCCCATGGCGCTAATGTCAAAGAGCTGGCTCGTATCCTCGAAGAAGGGCGGCGCATCGTTCACCTCGATCCGGTTCACGTTGTAGTTCATAGCCCTCTGAAGCGCGGTTGCCGTAGAGGGCTGCGTTGCACCACTTGCCGTCGACTGGGAAGAGCTAGGCACAGCCGTGGCAGCAGCATCAACTTGGTTCACTTTGCCCTTTCCCTTTGTGGGACATTCCCACTTCCAGTGCCCATACTGCCCGCAGCTGTGGCACTGCTGCTTGCCTTTTCCCTTTGCAGCCTGCTTGTCCCACGCGTTGCCTTTCCATGGCTGCTGCTGCTGTCCCTTCCAGCTCGGCTGCTTCTGTTGTCCTTTCCATGGCTGCTGCTGTTGCTGTCCCTTCCACGGCTGCTGCTGCTGTCCCTTCCATGGCTGCTGCTGCTGTCCTTTCCATGGCTGCTGCTGTCCTTTCCAGCTCGACTGCTGGCCCTTCTTTCCTTTGTCACCTTTGCCATCTTTTCCCTTCTTGCCTTTGCCGTCCTTGCCCTTCACGACGTCGACCTCCATAGGCTGAGGACCGCCGCCTCCACCTCCAAAGCCAGGGCTGCCGCCTTTCATAGGCAAGGTGCTTGCCCACGGTGCGTTCACGCTTTCATACTGAAGGATCCATTCGCGGAGGTTGCTGTACTCCGTCGTGCTTGTCATTCTGAGCTGCACTTGCGAGCGCAGGGGCTCGCGAAGGTTTGCCACAACGGTGGCAATCTGGAGGTCCGGCGGGTAGCTTTTGCCGCTCGAGCTTTCATAGCTGGCAACGGCGTCTTCAAACTGCACAAGCTGCTCATGCACATTGCCCTCCTTGAAGGTCCAAGAGGCCAACTGCCGAAGAAGAGCAAGGGATCTTGCTCGCTCCTTTGGTTCCATTTCCCGCCTGAGCACACGCATGGCCTCAAAGCCGGCACGTTCCTTCTCGAAGCCCTTCACAAGCAGCAAAGGCCGCCCTTTCAAGAGCGACACCAGCACGCCGAAGAGGCGCTGAGATCTCTGCACCTTGTCAGCCGCCATCAGAGCATGATCCTCGACCACGTCATCCTCGATGTCGTCCAGGTCGCCGGCATACTTGCTGTCATGTGCTGTGAGCCAAGTGACCAGCTGAAACTGCCAGTCTTTCCAGCTTCTAAGCTCCTCCTCTCTGTTGGCTGGCCTCCAGACGTCCATCTTCATCATCTTTGTGAGCCCGTCGTTTCTCACAATTGAAGCTTGGCTCTCCGCTGCTTTCGCCATCTTCTCCGTCGCCTGGAGAACCTGCCCAAAAGCATTGCCAAAAGCTTGCTGCACCCTTTGCCGCACGACCGCGTCCACTTGCTGCTGCATCTCCGGGCTCATAGCCGGCTGGCCCTGCTGGGCCCCATGGGCAGCCTGAGGCTGCTGAGCCTGCTGAGCAGGCACTTCTCCACTCATCTCGCCGCTTGCCCTTGCGCACACAGAAAAGAAAACTGAAGCCTCCCTTTCCAAGACCCAGCTGGTAAAGACCTGCCGGCCCGCGCTCTCCTCCCAAATTTGAAAAACCTCTGCTCCAATCCCACTCCAGGGGAATTCCGGTGCTGCCCCAGATTGGGGTCTTACAGCAAAGTTCCACGGGCCCAGTGGGCAGATCGAACTGCAGCCACCAGCCAGAAAAAGGAATCTCAGAAAAGGAAATATGTGGTGAAACCTGGTGGGCCCCAAGGCCCTGGGACTAATCTCGGAAGACCCGGGCAGCTCTCGCGGCCGCACCGGGCTCCGCTACCATCTAACAATCTTTTCTCACGGCCAAAAGGGCTTCAGATCTGCGTTTGCGGTGTGTACAAAGGGCAGGGTCGAACTGTAACACTGTTTGCAGAGCTGCAATGCCCAGACAATACAGGCAGGCCTGCACGTATGGGGTAAACCGGTAAGCCGCCCACCCCCTCCCAGGAACGATCTATCTGGCTTGGCCTGCTTGGCTTTAGCCACGGCAGCATCCTGCCGAACGATGACGAAATCAAGTTGGGTCTCACCCAAGTAGCAGGTGCCAGCTTATGCCCCTGCTAGGCGCTCCTGACACCGCAAGTTCGATCCCACAGGAGCGTCACTAGCTGCAAGCGCCCCGCCTCCGGACGCAGAAGCTGAGCCTGGATAAGCCGTCCCAAATCCGGCACCTGCCTCCGAATAGTCCTTATCACAAGCACTTTCGTAAGGGCAGGCGGGGCGAGGGTTACGCCTGCACCCGCGACAGGCGTGAGACCCACTGCTTCGGAGTGGGGAAGCAGCGGCACTGCGCTTCCCGGATCGCAGCCAAGGCCGACACCCATCCATTTTCAGTCAAGCGTGCAAGCTCACAGAAATTTAATTTCTATGGCTGTTGCTCAACACGTGGGACAGCAAGAAACAAAGGCCATATTTATGAACTGATTCCCGTGAACTTGTGCGGCCAAGACATGACTTTTCTCGCTGCTTTGTCAGTCTCCACAAAACTCAGAATCTGCGGCAAAGCCTGGGACAGGAGTTGTTGCTGTCCTGTTTGCACATGTGTTAGAGGGCCGTTGTAATGGAGTCTGGAGGATTTATGGGGTTGTGAGGCTCACAGGGCTTAGGATGTAGAGTCGAAGAATTTAGGATTACAGGCATAGGGCTACAGGGTTCTTTGTGTGCAGGCATCGCCGCGAACCTTCTACCTGCACCTTTGCTCGCTGCACTGGCACCCTACAGATACTAAACTCTACAACTCTCCCCTCCGCCGCCCCTTCCGAACTGGAGTTCCTGCAGCATGGGCCTGCGGCTCGGCCAAGCCAACAAACCTGCGCCCGCCTGGATGGACGAGGTTAATGTTTAAGAGGGTTCAGGGTTTGTGGGTTTGGGGTTTGGGGTTTAGGGGTATCGGTGTTAAGATGCAGGGAGGTGTTGGGGAGGTTGTTGGGGAGGTGCTGGGGAGGTGCTGGGGAGTGGGGGTTGGGTAGTGGGGTTCGGGGTTGGGAAGCGGATCCTTAAACGAATCCCGATGTAGGAACAACAAAAGCCTTGAAGATGAGTTTCGACCTCAATTCTGGTAGAAAGTTTGAGCGTTAGGCCGGTATACACAAGAGCCGACAAGGTAGAGGGGCAAATCTTGGATCCTAGACCCTAAAGCCTCGAAATTGGCTTCGTGTTCTCTTGCAGGATGCCACTTCTCCAAAAGGATGGCCTAGAGCCCCACCCCCCGCCCAATTCCTACATGCTCTGCTAGACTCTAAACCCCAAGCCCGAAACCCCGAACCCGAGAGCCCGGCTTCTTGGAGAACTTTGCCGAGGCTTCGCCTTGATTTCGAGAGTAAGGCTCGTTGTTTTTTTTGTTTTGGGGTTTGCTTTGAGTTTAGGGTTGAGGGTGTAGGGTTTATAAGGCTTTTATTTTCCAAGGAGCTTTGCTTTATTTCAAAAGGAAGATTCCAATCACAGTATTCCCAAACTATATGGGAAAATCAAAGTATATAAAGAATAAGAAAATTGCTCAAGCAGATGCGGCGCTTTTTCCTTCCGGCAAAGCCGAAGGGGGAAGTCGTGACATCCCCGCACCGATCGATGGCGAACACGAGGATCGCCAACGAACACCCCATTCACTTAAGAAGGAGATCAATCGTGGCATTGCCTTTGATCGGGCATCGAGGCGACACTCTGCACACCTGCCCCCTGACTGGAAAGGTTGACTTAGCTCTCGAAGGAGGATCGGCCGGGTTGCTTGCACTTGGAACGCGGCTAAACCAAGGGAGCATCGCCTCAGCGTCGCAGCTCTCAAAGATCAGCGAGAGTTGCCTCCACAAAGGGTCTTTTGAAGAGCCTTTCACCAAAGAGGCCAACACCCCGGAGTGATCCACATACATGGTCACCCTCTGCATGTTCAAGTGCTTCGACCACGCTTCTCTCGCACATACCACTGCATACATCTCAACTGGGCCTATCAAATGCCTTTTCCCGAACAAAAAATTTCCGGCCCTTTGGCCAGGGAGCAGCTACCCACCCATCCCACCCCTGTCTCGAGGCGGCGCGGGAAATAAAAGAGATGAACTCAGACGATTCAAAGCATGCATTCATGCCATGAAATGTGGTTCAAAATAAAGCAAAGGCGTTTTGGAAACTTCGCAGTAATTTTCAAAACTCTCCTAGGAAAATAAAGCTAATAGAGGCAAGCCTCATGTGTCGCATAGTTTGGAAAATAGCATGTTTCCTGAGTGAAGTAGGAGCTGCAAAGCTTGGGAAGTCCATGAGTGAATCTGCATAGTTACTTCTGTCCTTCGCATAGCTTCGTGGTTAGAGGTTGGGGCTCTCCGTTCTTTCAAAGAATCCTCGAATACTAAAACAAACGTCATTCTATAAAAGCGAATCAAGTATCGTATCTTCCAAATGAATCCAACTGTAAAACCACAGCACAACTTTTGCGCACACTTGTTGAGCCTTGCACAAGCGGTCTTTCACAAGTCAAACTCAAGCTCTAAAAGTGGGGTTTCAGGGAAAACTAAGAAGTTGTCACCTGATGCCCTTCACTGGCCTCAGTTTGCACAACAACCGGAGCGCTCCCGCTTGACTTTAGTCAGGCTGCCCTTTTAGAGCACTGGAGTACGCACCACACTCTACCCTAAAGGCTTGCTACCTCTTTCCTGTACAAACCCTGTCCCGGGGAGCATCTTGGGGCTCATCAAATTTTGTTCTAGTTCCCGGGATCCTTTAGAGTGTTCCAAACAAACAGCTTGCAAGGTGATGCACGTTGGGCTCTTTCTTTTTAGGGTGCAATCACCTGTGAGACTCACTTGAAGACTACTTACAAACCTAGCGCAAACACTTTACTCAGGAGAAAAGCCGAAAGCTATTCCGAAGGTCTTACATCGGCTCGTTTCAAAGAGAAGCTGTACACTCAGCTACCGCACTCACATCACCCAGTCAAGTCCGGATTAGTTAAACTGTAAAACCCTGAGCGGTCACGCTTTTACTCTTGAACCAAAGGCGCTGCATCGGTCACATAGTATACAGCTATACAATACTATACCGTAGCCTGGGCTCACCAAAGGTGTGGGGCGTTCCTATGTACAGAATTCAACACCCTGCCTCGAAGTCCTTGTGCTGTACTTCGATCGGTCATTCGTCGGGCATACCTCCGCCCGTGACTGCATCGGCTTAGCCATTGCAAGTCCTTGGGTTAAACACTCCGTGCAACCCACCTTTTGACCGTCCCCCAATTAAGGAGGTGTGTCAGACCGTCCTTGTCTTGACTCGTACAGTAACAAGTACTTCTCCCAAAAAGATTGTTTCCCTCGGATCAAAGCATATCAAGCAATGTTCATATGCTAAACGACCGTAATGCAAAAATCCGCCAAATCCAATATATATAAAAAGTCAATCTCAATATATTCCGGCATATAGCCTTCAGAATGTTACTCAAACACAGCAGCTCACAGCACTCGCACGTTCCTCAACTTTTTACTGAAAGGCGGGGGAGAATCGCGGTGAAAGTCGAAGCCCACAACAGACCGATGCCCCAACGGGTATTTCCCAGCATCAACAGTCTTGGGCGCACCCTCACCCCCACTTTGGGTCGGGCGGGCGGGAAAAGCAAGAATTTTGCCCTACCTCCAGAACTTGAGATGTCAAGGCAGCACGGGGCAAAAATCACAAGATCCATGTAACATGATAACAGCACTGCATGTTCATGTCACATGTAAAATCATCCTTCTCCAAAGACGAACTTCGTGTTTTAGCAACGCCCAAAACGGGCACTAAAACAGAAAGAGAAGGAAAAACTTTTTATGGAGAAAGTGACGTCGTGAAGCACGAAGCTTCCTTCTCCCAAAAAGATTGTTTCCCTCGGATCAAAGCATATCAAGCAATGGTCATATGCTAAACGACCGTAATGCAAAAATCCGCCAAATCCAATATATATATAAAAAGTCAATCTCAATATATTCCGGCATATAGCCTTCAGAATGTTACTCAAACACAGCAGCTCACAGCACTCGCACGTTCCTCAACTTTTTACTGAAAGGCGGGGGAGAATCGCGGTGAAAGTCGAAGCCCACAACAGACCGATGCCCCAACGGGTATTTCCCAGCATCAACAGTCTTGGGCGCACCCTCACCCCATCTCCTTTCTGCGCCTGCTGAACAAGAGAGTCTCGAGCTCGGCCTCTGTCTCAAAAGTTCGGCAAGAGCTGGTACGTGTAAGGTGCAAGGCCTCCTCGGGCACGCCCCTTGAGGGACCATCAGCAATATTCGAGAAAGAGGGCACACGCTCGATCCACAAGTAAGCTGGGTGATCAAAATTTGGGTGATCCCATGCCTGCACCAGCCGATTCATGCTGTGGCTGCTGCTGCCACCTTTTATGGCTGCGAAGCGTGCCGCCTCGTTATCACAGAAGACGATGACCCTCCGGTGCATCCATGCCTCCTTCCGAAGATGTCTGATGAGTGCCATTGCGT